CGCCGGCGTAATCAAATGCGCGACTGAACATATACGGGGACGAAAATATTTTGACATGATTGGCGGCTCACGAACGTGTAACGCACGTGAGCGAAATCAAACGTGCGTTCCAGTTACGATACAAAATCGATGGACACCTGAAGTGCGCTCAGAAATTCACGCACGCATCTACGCACGGATCCCGTAATTAAACCTGTCATTTCATTGAGACGCAGCAGAAAGAGAGAGAGAGAGAGAGAGAGAGAAGAGAGAGGAGAGTGGAAAGTGGAGAAAGAGCGTAACCAGCGTACTTGTCGCTTTACGTAAACAGTTTAGAAACGACATTTTTGTCCCTCGGGATTGCGCGCGCGCGCCCTTCTCCCTTTTTTCACACCCCTTCGCCCTAATAATGCTCGTGTCACCGCCAGGCGCATTAACGTGCGCTTTCTCTTAAACAATACTCCGCGAAAGAGAAGAAAATGCATGCGTCAGTCTGTTCAAACAAACCGTCGTCGGTTCACGCTACCTTAATTAATAATATGGGTTTTGTAAAAATTTCATCGTTAGAAATTGCAACGAGCGCCACTTTGTCACGAATTTACATGCGATCGGTTAATTTTCTCCGAAAGAGGAACGAATTTCTACAAAAGGGAACGAGCACATTTTACCCCCTGAGATTTTCATTTTACACGATAGAGAAAAGCTCGCTATCGACTTTCGCGTTGAATACATCGGAATTTTCTATGAACAGAATTAAAGGAATAAAGGGTTTATCTGCGCGCGATCCGTAAAGATTTAATTAATATCGGATCAAATTAACAATTTTATTCGATATTATCGAGCGTTTCAATTGTACGATCGCAGAGATATTGCTATTATTTTTTCCGTTGAAAACGAGAGATGCATTATATTTTGCCGATTCTTTTTCTTACATTCGGAAATTTGTTTCTCTTCCACCATCGTGCACGAGAGACGTTTCTCGAGAAATAAACCGTGTAACCAAATTGAATTGTAACGAATAGATTACTCTAACCGTACCAAATCCGCGATATATTAAATATATTTACGATAACGTTTTTGTTGATTGAATACCAAATAGAAACTTTGCACGAATGTTTGTTTGAATTATAATGCTTAATGTGATGAGGCAAAAAAATTATCTAATCACGATTTTCTCGCGAACAGGAGAACAGAGTATCCGGTCAAACGTCTCTATGATATAAGTTAGTACGAGAGTGTCTTCATTTTCAATTTTCATAATACCCACACACATCGCCCGATTTGTTTCGAACAAGCACAGAAACCTGGTCCGTACACGTCATACATGTGTATTATAATATATATATATATATATATATGTACATATAGTTTATATACATATATATATAGATATAAACGTTGATAGGCGGAACGATATGATCGAAAAGGGTGATGCGCATGGTATGAAGAGGGTGCAGGAAGACTATAACGGGGTATAGAGAAGAAGAGGACGAGGTAGATATCAATCATAGAAGGCTCAGGCCTGTCAGGCCACACTGACTGCGCGCACGACGATAAAGACACCGAAATCGAGCGACGCAGGCTCTGTTCTTGCTCTCGCCCTTTAAACTTTTAAAGAGAAACAAGTTGTAACGGGAGAGAGATCGCTTTTTTTATCATTATTATTACACAACAGCGCGACATTGTCGCGACATGTGTATAAGCGAAACACACATACGAACCGAAATAATTTCACGACCGTCATTATATTAGGACACGTACATATGTCGTCGCGTCTAAAAGTCTAAAATCAAATATAGGTGGTACGCAATATACCATGAGCGCGTCACAAAAATCGATTCACGTTTAATGTAATAAAGAAATGCGTTTCGCGTCCGATTCTCTCTATTCGATTCACTTTTGCAATTTTCGCCGGTAATTTGCCGAGTTTCGGATTTACGAGTTCGATTTCGCGAATGATTTAGCGCAAACTTCGCTCCGCTCGGGCGGTCGTGTATCATATTTACCGAGTTTACAAGCCGCGCGAGTTTACCCGCGCGGCGAATGTTTTATAAAGCGCGGTTTTGCGCGCGCGGTGTTTTTCACGGTGTGCATTCTCGGGTCTTCGCATGAACTTCGGACAGGCCGAGGAGAAGCTCCGAAGGAGGACAGAATGGAAAACAATAACTTTTTCATTTACCGTGAGCGAGGCATTACCGCGATATAAGCGCGCGCGGTTGCACGATAAAACTAAGGCGACGTCGTTGTCGACGACGAGCTCGTCGCGTGTCGTACGCGTCTCGTATTACCCGTCTTCCTTCAGCGCGGGAAGAAGGTAACCGTGATATCGAGTGTGTTATTGCACACACATACACACTCACACATACCTATCTATACCGCACATATCAAGATTACCGTTTCCTCGTTCTGTTGCAGAAAACTTCGAGATGCAACTCGATAGATGGGAGAAGAGGTCGACGACAACTCAGAAAATCCGTTGCGTCCCGGTGTAGCCTCGGCTGATCATGGTGTTTCTCTCTCCGTACTCCTCCTCGCGGGTAAGTTTTTACATGCACAGTTGATTGCTCGCGCACGCGAACTTGATATAACAGCATAAAAGAGAAAACTACTATCCGGTCGGAGTTTTGCATATTTTAAAAGGCACACATCTACTTGCGTCTCTTAATCGAGATTAGTCTCGATACATGTTTAAAAATTTAAGTTGCGCGAGAATCGAGTTTACAATTTTTGAAATTGCGAAATTCTCTTACCGAGAACAATTTTACTCTTCTTGCATTAATACGCATTTCACAGTATATTTCTGTTACATTCACGTTCCGTCATATGGCAATAATTGTCTGTCAAGTGGTAATATAGCGTAACCTAGATTCGCACTCATCCTCTCGCAATATAATTTCCGCGGTAAAGCGCGCGCGCGCTTGTGTGTGTGTGTGTGTGTGTGTGTATGTGTGTGTTGGTGTACGGGGTGTGCCCGCGTTTACCGCGAGGCGAAGCACGGAAGCTTCGTAAAAAATCGATTGTTATTAATTAAAGCCCTTAATTGGAACGTAAAAAGCAATTGCGAAAGTGTATTCCGTGCGATAACATCGTCGAGAGCGAGAAGGGACGAGCTGCAATCGAGAATCGTCGTCTCAAACGAGAGACGTTATTTTTCTTACTGGATTACATCGAAAAGATAAAGCGAAACCCACTCGTTTTAATTGATGAGCGTTGTGAAACGCCGCGACGGTAACCCGCGGCGACGTAAACGCGCGCGCGTCTCCGATACCGATCTAACAAACTTCCGATCCACCCAGTAGATCGGCATGTACGATGTAGGCGCGCAATATCCGACCTACCTGTCGGTCATCAACGTCTTTCTACGATTTATCGTGACGTTACACGCGAGTCTTTCCGCCTACACCCTTTTGCTCTTCCGCCGGAAAACTTTTTCAATTCGTGCAGGTTTCGTCTATTAGCGCTGCGCGCGAATTTGCATGGGCTATTAATCCTACTTCAGACCTTTTTCTCGCGCGTAAATAGCATCCGCCGGAAAGACGGACGCCTCGCATCGGGTGTGAATGCCGCGCGTGACAACTCAACCGGTTCTACCGGTTCTCACTTCTCGTGTATGTGTGTGTGTGTGTGTTTTTCACACTGCGTTTACTTCGATTGCATTTTAACTTCGACATTTGCTCTCGTTTCTTCTTTGTATTTATATTGACAAAATGTGTCTAAGAAAAACTATCGTTTTATGCCGTCGCCGTACATCGTCGTCGTCGTCGTCGTCGTCGTCGTCGTAATAAGAGTTAACGATTAATTAGGGCAGAATATTGCGACGGGCGTACATTTTACGACCTGGCGTCATGTTGTTGCTCGTTTGCAACGAGCGTTTTATCCGCATATATTATCGCGCCACAGGTACGATTTTTAGATACGAAAGCAGCTATGTGTTTAGAACGAACAATAGTGCAGAACAGACGGACATCGTTGACGAGAAAATATTTTATTTATGACGCGTACATTTTCATCGGAATGTAAATATTTTATAAGAAAAAAACAGAAGAATGAAAGAATGTAAAGGTAAGAATGTAAAGGTAGGGGAACAACATTATGTTCAATTAGCGCTAATATTTTTGTCAATAAAGTAACGCGTCGTTTATGTTGCAAGTCGTTTGTCGCTTGCATTACTATTGAAAATAATCTCGTGCGTTTTTCAATGAGAAACAAAAGAATCGCAATTTATATATCGTGCAATTTGAAGTAAGTAAACAGCGCTGACTCTCTCTCTCTCTCTCTCTCTGAAATCAATTTTATCCGCGAGACGTAATTTCTCTTCCTGCAAGGAGTCAATTCCCTGATTCGCCGCATTTATTAAGCAGACATACATTAATATATGCCACGTGAGCCGCAGTTTGCTATGCACTAAAGAACGAATCTTTATAGAGTTATATTACAAAATATAAATAAAAAGAATAAAGTCAATAGAATAGTGTTTATTTTTTCACAGTTTAACAATATGTTTGAATTTTTATGACAACGATGATCATTGCTTACTTAATTGTGCCTGGTACAGCGATGCGATATCACGCATAAAAACTAATTTATTGTAATATAAATTGCATTACCAAACATTTATAGGATCGTAATTACATAATCATTCATTTACATAATCACATTACATAATCATTCATTTACATAATCACATTCTTCAGATGTAGTTCTCAATATGCTAAAACGTCAGAAGAAATTAATCACTTTGATATGAGTTGTTGTTTGTCATGAGTGATGAGCATTATCACGAATGATTCACACACACAGTAATTGTGCGCATTAAGTTGTCCTTTAGATACAGATTTCTGACAAAAACAATGTAATTTACAAGAGAATCTACATAGTACTATCGATACTTATTGATAGTACGATAACATATTTAAATAGGTTTTTTTATCTATTGTTTATTTTTCAGTGCGTCTTTATTGACATTATCACTTATATCAAAATAAACAGAAATATTTGTGGAAAGAAATAACAATGTGTAATACGCATTTATCAGTAAATTTATTGTACAGATAGTATATATTACGCAATAACAAAAAGATTACGATTAGCTGACTAGCTTGGATTCGAAATTAGACATACGACTGTCTTTGTTTCATCACATTCATTATAACCTTGACTTCAGTCAAGTGCACATATGTAGTTGACACTATTTTACTGTGATATCACTCAATTGATTTATCAATTTATGACGTTTTTCTCAAAGTTATCACGTTATTATAGAAGTTATCTTATTGCACTTTTGAAACCTCGTTTATCTCGTCACGTATTTTTTATGTATATTGTAAAACCATTTCTCTCATATTAAAAAAAATGCAAATTATACAATAGCAAACAAATGCATTACATATAGTCTAAGATGTAAGATGTATAAGATGTATTGTTCTGCAAAACTTGTTAATAATGAAAGATGTATATGTTTACAGTATGAGTACATATTTACACTATAAGGAATCAGAACAGAAAAGGAAAATCAAGAAAATAGTATATTTTTTTTTTTAACATTTTAAGCAGGCTCAAACTTGTATGAATATGACAATTAGTAGTATAATTTTTTTTTTTTTTTTTGACTTTATTCTGCTTTGGACGTGCTTAAGAATATTTCTTTTACTTGCACAACAGTACTTTGATGCAACAAAGCACACGCGGTGTTTATTAAAGTGTGCAAAGCGTGTTTCTTAAGTTTAAACACTTGTTTAATAAAGTGTGTTAAACGCACACTATTCCTTGATCTGCTATTATTGATTGGACACGCAATTCATTGAAACACGCTACAAAAAGCTCACATATCTGTTTTCCAAATATTATCTACTTTAAATCTGCATCACAACAAATTTAAAAAAGAATCCCTCTATCATATTTTTAAATGTGACCATTGGCCGTACCATTAGACGTAACACTTGCGTCGCTTCTTGGTTGAATTTTCAGCCAGAATCCATTCTCCGGTTGCATGGCAAAATTTGACTTGCTCAATTGTAACGGGTGACTAGTTTTTTCGCATGGTTTTAATTCGCAACGAGCCAACAGATGAAACAGCAATACTTTGACTTCCAATAACGCGAATCTGTTGCCTATGCACATCCTTGGGCCGAGTCCAAATGGAATAAACGCAATTGAATTTATATTTTTCTTGTCGAAAAATCGATCAGGATTAAATTTCTCGGGTTCCTCCCAATACTGTGGATCTTGATGAAGACCGTAAGCCGGAAACCAAATGCTCCTTCCTTTCTTCACAACGAAAGGTTTGCCGCCGGGCACCGCTGGCGGTAATTCGAATTCCTGCGTACATATTCTATCTAAAAACACCCCTACAGGCCATAATCTAAGAGTCTCGTTAACTACAGCGTCCAGATACTGCATTTCGTTTAATGCCTCATACGTCACTGTCCCGTTTGATGATTTGAGAACACCGTCTATCTCGTCGCGTAATCTCGCTTGAATGTCTGGATTAACGGCAAGTTCGTGAGCGGCAAAGCACATTGTGACAGAAACGGTATCAAAACCGCCAAAGAAAAATATAAAAGCCTGCGACGTCATATCTTCAATAGTCAATTCTTTTCCAGGTCCTCTTTTTCCTCTGCTTTCCATCATCAGTTGCAGCATGTCCGGTCGTACGATGTTCTGCGCATCTCTGGCTTTTATTGTGTTTTGTACAAGATTCTTGAAAAATACAGCTACGGGATTGCTGACAAATTTGAGGCCCACCATTTTGGTGCAAAGAGGTAAACTTCTTATTAGATAAAATTTTATAGTGCGCCATGCGTTGAAAGTTGTAGCGTCTTTTCCGTAAACGTAGAACTCGTTGTTGGGATTTCTCATAGAATCGACTTTAATTCCGAAAGCACACGTCGCAATCACATCATTTGTATATCTGGTAAAGTAATTCTTCACTTCCATTACAGTTTCGTCCGAAGGTAATTTGGACAGAAATTCAGTAAAATTTGCAGCACAATCGGACATTAACGTAAACATATTCTTCATTTTGCTGGACGTAAAAGCGGGACTCAGTAGAGTCCTCACGTCTCGCCACTTCTCGCCGCGTAGCGAAAATAGATTCTTACCGAACAGCGGGTCATTCACTTCGTCAATGAAAGCGCGATGATCGGTGAACGATTCGAAGTGTTTGATACCGATGGACTTGATCAGTTCCGGATCACGAATCACCACTATCGGATTCATACCATCGAAGAAACCAACGTACTTGGCATTTTGGTTCAGATTGTAGATTTTCTTGACGAGCCCAGCCAACGGCAATTGCCGGAAGAAAACTGGTCCCATGTTGCCCACGATGGGTAACGGCGATATATGAGTAATTCCATGCTTCTTGAAGTAATCAAAATCTTTGAAGAAGTAGTAATACGCAGCGACGGTACCTGCTAGGATGGACAATAATATCCAAACGTCCATGTCGACGACCAGACGCGGCGGCAGCCTTGACTCGATATATTAGACAGACAGTATACGTTCGAATGCTGCTGCTGGAAATGATCGCTTCCTTTTATATGCTGGTTAGTCAGTTTACGTAACACGAGATTACAACTGGCAGTAGTGGTAGTGAGTAGAAGAAGGGGATTCCTGTATCCGTATATGGTAACGCACTTGATGAACGTCAAGTGTGTAATCAATGTATGCAATGATTCAGCGTTTCTTCTTTGTTTTTCTTGTTAATAGATTTGCACGAAGATGGTTAGCTCTCTTTGTTTTGTCTGTTTCTTTTTTTTTCTTTCTTTCTCTCTTTTCCTTTCTGAATATATTATTTCGACCAGACTGTCGTGTGTGAGTAATACTTTTAAAATTGCGTTTAGACCAGACGAGATAATGGTGATAGCATATGGCGGCACATGTTATCTTATTTTTTTTATTAGCGATGATGATACAAACTGGTTCCAACTTGTGTTGCTAACAGCATCAGTTTATCATTTAGGTTGAATAATACATTTAAAAAATATATATTTAAATAATAATATATTTAAAAAAATTATATTTTGTTTAAAACTTTGTGTCGCGTGTGAATACATTGTTGTACTTAGACATTAATCTAAAATCAGTGATTCTTCTTCCACTTGAAGAAAACGGATACTGTTCCGTATAATTATACCGTGTTTTATACAATACATAATCGCACACAGTTGCTCGAATATCGAAGCGATTTGAAAAATCACGCTCGATGTTCGATAAATTTTGAAATTTATATATCGTGCAATTCGAAGTGAGTAAACAGCGCCGACTGAAATCAATTTTCTCCGCGAGAAGTAATCCCTCTTACTGCGAGGAGTCGATTCCCTGATTCGCCGCATGTATTAAGCAGACATACATTAATACATCCCACGTGAGCCGCAGTTTGCTATGCACTAAAGGGCGAAGGGAGAGGCGCGGCGCGCGGAATGTAGTGGAGATATTAATGCCACCGATTAATGCTCTAAACGTTACGTTAATCGCCATTAGCCGTTCGCTGTTCGAACGGTCGAACTGCGCGCAGATCATCATCATTGTTTGCCGATCACATACGCGCGCGTGTCGTAAGCACAGCAGCAGCTGCTGCCGCCACAGCCTAACGCGAAATGTGTCTCGTCGCGGAATATGTAAGCGTGCCGCGGGCGGCGTCCGTGTGCGATTACGTTTCTCTCGTATTATAACGAATTATCGGCGATGATGAAATACATCGTGGAAACGAATGACAGTGATTAGTAAATGAGTTGTCGTTGTTTTGAAGCTCTTTCATTGCGCGCGTCGACCTGTCGCGCAACGTGAGCTCGCCGTCGAGCTCGCGAACGAATTAAGGCTCGTTACGTGAAAATCGATCAAAATGATGAGTTTCTTTTTTCAGTATGATCAAAAGATACAATCGCGCCAAGTGCAATACGAATGCTCGCTCGAAACAACGGACTGTTTTGTTGGAGATATGATCAATTAAATGTTGCGTCATAAAAGAAACACAATACATAAGAGAAACAATTTAGTCAGAGAAAACATTTTTCTTGCGGAATAAAACCTTTTCAAAAAACATTTCAACGCTTCTAATTTTGGATGTCGTTTTTTTGTAGAAAAAAATTTGCATAAAAAGCTGAGGTTTCAAGAATTTTATGTCTTACGTTATGTAATGTAGTTTTTAAGAGTTTAATTAATTGACGAGTATATTTAATTTTTTTTATGAAGAAGATAAATTTTAAATATAAATATGAGACGGCATTTGATTTATTTATGTTTATTGATAGACTTGATTGTATCCCTTGACTATCCATTATTGTGACTTCTGTTTTTTTATATGTAAGACTCCATTATTGTTCTATCAAGTCACTTCCTTCGCAATGTTTTCTTGTTGTACAACAGAAATGCATCATGTAATACATAACGGAATAAGAGACATGTTTTGCAAAAGTAATTGCTAATTATCATAATTATTATTTATAGAGTTATATAACAGAATACACAAAAAAAATAAGATCAATAAAATAGTGTTTAGTTTTCATAGTTTAACAGCATGTTTGAATTTTTATGAATACGATGATTATTTCTTACTTAATTGTAGCCTGGTACAGCAATGCGATAACACGCATAAAAACTAATTTATTGTACTATAAATTGCAATAGCAAACTTTTATAGGATCGCAATTACATAATCGTTCATTTACAAAATCACATTCTTCAGAAGTTATAATTCTCAATATGTTGAGACATTAAAAAATTGATCACTTTGATATGAGTTGTTATCAGTGATAAGCATCATCACGAATGAAACACACACACACACATACACACACACACACAGAGAGAGAAAGAGAGAGAGAAATTGTGCTCATTAAGTTGATCTGTTGATAAAAATTTTTAATGACAAGAACAATGTATAAGTATACAATAGAATCTACAAAGTACTATTTATACTTATTGAAACTTATTTTAATGGTTTTTTAATTTATTGTTTATTTTTCGGTGCGTTTTTATTGATATTGTCAGTATATTAAAATATGTAGAAATATTTGTGGAAAGAAATAACAATGTGTAATACGCATTTATCAGTAAATTTATCGTACAGATGGTATATATTGCGTACTAACAGAAAGACTACGAGTAGCTGATTAGCTTGGTTTCGGAGTCAGACATATGACTGTCTCTGTTATATTCGTTATAACCTTGACTTCAGTCAAGTGCATGTATGTAGTTGACACTATTTCACTCTGATATCACCCAATTGATTTAATTTCTTTATGACGTTTTCAACAAAGCTATCACATTGTTATATAAGATATACGACTTATTGCACTTTTAAAACCTATTTTATCGTCACATATTTTTAATGTATTATAAAACATTTCTCTCATATTATGAAAAACAAATATACACTAGAAAACACATGCATTACGTATAGTGTAATTATAAGACGTATTATTCTACAAAACTAGTTACTAATTATACATGTAAAATTTATATTGTAGAAGTACATATTTAGATTGTATAAAAAAATGTAACGGAAGATAAAGATCGAGAAAATAGTATATTTTTTCAACAATTTAACAGCAAGCTCAAACTTGTATAAATATAACAATTATTATGATTATTTTTTTGTTAGTTAACTTTATTCCGCTTCTGTCGTGCTTAAGAATATTTATTTTATTTGCACAACAGCATTTGATACAATAAAGCACATGCGATGTTTAGTAAAATGTTTTACACACTTGTTTAATAAAGTGTGTTAAACACACACTATATTCCTTGATCTGCTGTTATTGATTGGACACGTTATTCATTGACACACGCTACAAAAAACTCACACATTTGTTTTCCACATATTGTCTAATTTAAATCTGCATCACAACAAATTTAAAAAAGAATCTCACTATCATATTTTTAAATGTGATCATTGGCCGTATCAGTAGACGTAACACTTATGTCGCTTCTTGGTTGAATTTTCAGCCAGAATCCATTCTCCGGTTGCAAAGCAAAGTTTGCCTTGCTCAACTGCAATGGGTGATTAGTTTTTTCGCACGGCTTTAATTCGCAACGAGCCAACAGATGAAACAGCAATACTTTGACTTCCAATACCGCGAATCTGTTACCTATGCACATTTTTGGGCCGAGTCCAAATGGGATAAACGCAATTGAATTTATATTTTTCTTGTCGAAAAATCGATCAGGATTAAATTTCTCAGGTTCCTCCCAATACTGCGGATCTAGATGAAGACCGTAAGCCGGAAACCAAATGCTCCTTCCTTTCTTCACAACGAAAGGTTTGCCGCCGGGAAGCGCTGGTGGCAGTTCAAATTCCTGCGTACACATTCTATCTAAAAACACTCCCACAGGCCATAATCTAAGAGTCTCGTTAACTACAGCGTCCAGATACTGCATTGTGTTTAAAGCCTCATATGTTAATGTCCCGTTTGTTGATTTGAGAACATCGTCTATCTCGTCGCGTAATCTCGCTTGAATGTCTGGATTAACGGCAAGTTCGTGAGCGGCAAAGCACATTGTAACAGAAATAGTATCAAAACCGCCTAAGAAAAATATAAAAGCTTGCGAAGTCATGTCTTCAATAGTTAATTCTTTTCCAGGTCCTCTTTTTCCTCTGCTTTCCATCATCAGTTGCAGCATATCCGGTCGTACGATGTTCTGCGCATCTCTGGCTTTTATTGTGTTTTGTACAAGATTCTTGAAAAATACAGCTACGGAATTACTGACAAATTTGAGGCCCACCATTTTGGTGAGGAGAGGACAACTTCTTATTATACAGAATTTTATAGTGCGCCATGTGTTGAAACTTGTAGCTTTCCCATAAACATAGAACTCGTTGTCAGGATTTCTCATGGAATCGACTGTAATTCCGAAAGCACACGTTGCAATCACATCGGTCGTATATCTTGTAAAGCAATTCTTCATTTCCATCACAGTTTCGTCCGAAGGTAATTTGGACAGAAATTCAGTAAAATTTGCAGCACAATCGGACATTAACGTGAACATATTCTTCATTTTGCTGGACGTGAAAGCGGGACTCAGTAGAGTTCTCACGTCTCGCCACTTCTCACCGCGTAGCGAAAATAGATTCTTACCGGTCAGCGGGTCGTTCACTTCGTCAATAAAAGCGCGATGATCGGTGAACGATTCGAAGTGTTTGATACCGATGGACTTGATGAGTTCCGGATCACGAATTACCACTACCGGATTCATACCATCGAAGAAACCAACGTACTTGGCATTTTGGTTCAGATTGTAGATTTTTTTGACGAGCGCAGCCAACGACGATTGCCGGAAGAAAACCGGTCCCATGTTGCCCACGATGGGTAACGGCGGCATGTGAAGAATTCCATGTTTCTTGAAGTAATTTAAATCCTTGAAGAAGTAGTAATACACAGCGACGGTGCCTGCCAGGATGGACAACAATATCCAGACGTCCATGTCGACAAGACGCGGCGGCAGACTTGACTCGATATCAATGGACCGATAGTAGACGTTCGAATGCTGCTGCTGGAAATGATCTTCTTTTTATATGCTTAGAGTTAGTCAGTTACGTCAATTTACGTAACACGAGAGTACGACTGGTAGTGGTAGTAAGAAGAAGGGGAAGTGGTATTTGTATATGGTACATACTTGACGGATGTAATCAGTGTGTGCAATGATTTAGCTTTTGTTTTTCTTTTTTCTTTTTAATAGTTTTGCACAAAAATGTTTAACTCTTGCTTTCTTTTGTCTGTTTCTCTTTGTTTCTCTTTTTCTGTCTCTTTTTTTCTGAATATGTTATTTCGGTTAGACTGTTGTGAGTAATACTTTTTAAACCGTACTTTGACCAGATGAGATAATGTTAATAGCATATGGCGGTACATGTTATCTTATCTTTTTTTATTAATGATAATGGTATAAAATCGCTTCCAACTTGCGTTGCTTATAGCGTCAGTTTATTAATCAAGTTTGATAATATTTAAAAAACAATACATTTTGATAAACATTTTAATAAACAATACATTTTGTTGAAATCTTTGTGTCGCGTGGGAGTACATTGTTGTAGACATTAATCTAAAATCGGTGATTTATTTCCCACTTGAAGTAAACAGAGACTGTTTTGTAATTATACCGTTTTTTATACAACACATAATCGCACACAGCCGCTCGATTATCGATTTCGAAAAATCACGTTCGATGTCCGATGAATTCCGTCGGTGCACTATTTGAAAATTTAATTGAAATTCTCGACTGTTCCGGGATTAAAAGTAAGCGTTGTTTGTTATTAAATAATATCACGCGCGATACGCCGTGTTAATATTGACATTCGACGATAGGCTACGCGGACGTGCGTAACATCAGATTAACGTTCCAATGTGAAAACATGTAATCGATAGGGTTGCTCGCGTGGATTTGCAACAATTTCCAAAATCTTAAGCGGTAATCAATTCGCTCGGTTTTATCGCAAAAATCGTATGTAAATTCTCCCGATTGCTCGCGCATCTTGTCTTGTTTTGTTTGTGGAGTAACAACTTTTTGTTTTACTAACACAACACAAGCGCGCGCTACGCGCACGCTATTATTATTTTCATTTTCATGTGTTGCATCAGTGAACACAACCTGTCACCGCGATGACAGCTAATATATACATCTTATAAACTATGTAATACACCTACGAGAGATGTCAAAAATAACACATGAAAATCAAACTCAAAAAATAAAAGAAAGAGAGAAAAATGGAAAAATAACACGTAACTAAAGTCACGTGACAAAGAAAAGAGTAAAAAAAAAAATATTATACGTATACATATATTATATATAATATACATATATTATAGATAATATTCTATATCTATATATAATATACATACATACACACACACATATACACGTATATATATATATACCGTAATCACATGACCGAGGTTAGAGACCCCGCCCAGGTCGCGCGCCCGAGATCAATGACCTCCCCCCCCCATCAAGGCCGCGCGGCCGAGGTCAGTGACCCCGCCAAGGCCGTGCGGCCGAGGTCAGTGACCCCGCCAAGGCCGCGCGGCCGAGGTCAGTGACCCCGCCAAGATCGCGCGGCGGAGGTCAGTGACATTACTGTATATAATACATATAATACAATATAAAGTATAATATTATAAATATATAATAAATTATATGTATAATATGTATTATTTAATGTTATATATAATATAAATTACAGTCGTATAAATTATTTTCACGTATTGTTTTTCTACTCTTTCCTGTCAGGTGACTTTAGTTACGTTTAGGTATGTTTTTAATTTTCTCTACATATACGACAAACTGTCTCAAAATTGCTTTTCATTATTTACTCTCTCGATCTTACCGATTCGATTCGACTCGATCAACCAATCGACCAATCGGCAACACGGAAAAGAGGCAACAATAGATGTGATACATTCGGCTCCAAAACGCGCACTTTGCGGAACACATGGATTTTTTTATATAGATATTTTACGCAGTGAGAGAAAATCTACTTGTATGCTAAAAATAAGAATTGAAGAGAATATTGAGTCAGTTTTTTTACAAGTTGTATTTTTCGCACACGCGAATTTGACACATTGAATTTTCAATTTGCTCGTAAAAATTTTGTCACGTTTTGGTAAAACTGAGTTTCCAAATATGCGCGATCGATGTTACCTTCCGAACGATTCGCGAGTTGAGTTACACTTAATTACAAGACACTAGGCGTCGAAGCTTACGCGCTTTCGTTGTGATTACGCAAACTATAAGCTGTTATCTCGCCGTTGAATCCGCGTCGAATACGCGATTACAGAGCTTTTATAGGTAATCTAAAATTAGGTATGTCAAATATAATCACCGAGCGTTTGCGCGGGTGGGAGGAAAAGGCAGGATCTGTTAGATCAGTCATCTCGTTGTCGATACGTCAATACATAAACAAACTGGAAACCGATCCGAACGTTACGGCTACCGTGCGTTGCGCGACAAAAGATTATGATACGACTACCTTTTCATTAGTTTAATAACGCGACTCGTGAGAAACACAGTGCGCGGGTAAAACTTTTTAATTATAAATATTAATCTAGCGCGCGCGCTCGCGCGCACGCGCATTAAAGGCGAACTGTCCGCTCGACGTGTTGTCGGAAAGTCGTTAAAGCACGGATTGTTAAAACGAAATTAGCGCGACGTATACGGGAAAAGTCGGTCGCGTTTTAAACTTTTCAACTGTATATACGCACGTATATACGCGGAAGAGCGATACGGGCGATATTTTCGCGCCTACCGACGAAAGTGCGATCGAACTTTTAATTACGCCCGCGGATAAAAGTATAAACACCGATGCGACAAAAATAATTTCACACGATATAATGACACAAATATTGTGTGCATTTGTCGCGCGCAAATATACATAGTTTTGAAAAACACTTATTCAATTTTCCATTTATCACCGAAATCCCATATAAATATTATTCACAGATTAAACTAAAAACGATTTGAAATAAAACCGCTCACGTAGTGTGTGATGGCATACATTAGTACGCAAGCTATTATGACATTTTTTACATAACTGCAAAACATAAAGACCGACAACTCCACGAGGAGTTCGCTTCACTTCGTGATCGCGACCAAAGAGAAAATCGATTGCGATTTATTGTATATGTTGTATATTGCGATTACGTCGTACACGCAATATGCATGTATAACCTTCGCGTAATTCCTTGATTAATAATTCAACTGCTGTTTATTGTTTGCTTCATCTCAGTGTAAAAAGCTGATCGATACCGGGGCTGCTACCGGAGCGGCTCTCGACAAAAACTACCGGAATTGCACGATATTTGACGGGAGGAGGGGGTTTAAAACCCCGTGGCAATTAAGGGCGGACGCGAACACAGTGTACGAGCGCGCGGGGCGATGAGCCGTTGGAAAGGATCTCCCCGCGTGTTAAACCAGAGTCAAAGCGATGCCCCATAGGGACTGGCCGATCAGCCGGCTGTGTTTTAAGCTTCTTAACCGGTTCTCTCTCCCATCGGCGACGGCCCTCGATGGCGCGACCCGCGGCCGGGCAGTGAAACGTCAATCGACGAGTTACGCGTTCGCCGGTCCACGAGCAATTTCGGGAAATGGTTTGGATCACGGCCTTTCAGCCTGTGACGAGGCGAACAAGTGTGTACGTAGGTGCGGGTTTGCGGTGCGCGACATCGCGTGTGTGTGTGTGTGTGTGTGCGCGCGCGCGCGTCCACGTACGTGCAACCAAATGCGCGCGTGTGCGCACACATGTGCGTTGGGGGAAACGCGTTGAAAGAGCCGGCCAAAGGACCGGCCGCAAGCCGCCACACATTCGCACGAGTGTACACACTTTCTCGCAGTGCGGCACAATGACGACGGGTGGCTCTTTGCCCGCCTGCCAGAGCATCGCGCCGACACGCCGCGCGAAATTGCGCTCAGAAAAGAGCTCGTCTATAGTTGCGCCGCGGCCCCACAATAGGTCACAACGGTATCGTACACGCGCGCGGTATATCGGTACTGGTTTATCGGACCATCGAGTGTGTAGAGGTTACAACATGACGATTATATGAACTCCCGTCTTTTCTCTCTCTCTCTCTCTCTCTCTCTCAGCATGTATTACCGGAACATACGTGTACATACAGGCCACCTGTTCCGGTTAGTACACGTCCATCTATATCTGTCACATCGAGTCTCACATTATGCTTGTATCATGATAGGGTATATTTCGTCTTCATATAGGAGTCTTTGATATTGGATGAAATTTCACAAATTAAAGATGAACAAAGATAGCAAATTCTGACCGATTCTTGTGTGATTTTCATACTCGGCATTTTTTATCGTGTTATTTGTTTCGTCTTTCTTTTCTTTTTTATTCTCTCTTTTTCGCGATAATTCGACAAGTGTTCCTTAAATTTAACAGAAATACTTTTTACATTTTTCGATAAAAGGAAACATATTTGCACATGTATATTTCTAAATAGAGAAAATTATAATTTCAGTTTTGTAATTTCGGTCTTAATTTAACGTGCGAGACGCACGTTCTTCAAGCAGTAAACGTTGACGTGTGTACACGTCGTATGAATGAAATACTAACAGCCGACCGCGTGCAACGATCCTTTTGTGAAACGTCGGACTCATTTCATAACTTGCAGGAGTTCCGCCGCACTTTTATGTTTACATTTTATAAAACGCTTCCGAAATACAGGTCAACGACTTCGCTCACGTAATATTATTATTTTTTTTTTTTTTTTTTTTTATGAAAAGCGCAGATATAAAATTCAGGTCAACGTAAAAAGTGAATAATTTCGTCTCACAGATTGGACCTGAAATATACTGTGTGCGAGGGAAACTTCGCACGCGGAAAAATCTCGCATAATCCACATGAAATATAAAAAAGTGCGAATTTACGAATGTAATATAATAAATAAATATTAGTAATTTTCGAGTTCAAATTGGGTCACTTCGCATACCCCTATATCACGTCGTAAAATACATAAATGAGTTTTGA